CAACTGTTGTTACATTGTACATACATTGTACTAGTAAAGAAATTGTTGTTACATTTTACATAGATTGTACTAGTTACCTAATGCAACTGTTGTTACATTGTACATACATTGTACTAGTTACATAATGCTACTGTTGTTACATTTTACATAGATTGTACTATTTACATAATGCAACTGTTTTTACATAGATGACAATCAAGCTTTACAGATATAGTAGAGAAAATAGAGACAGAAACCTTTTTCCCCATTATGTAACTTCATGTTTTGATTCAAAATCGTGACTCATTTCAGTTGTGTTTACCTTTTCCTCCCTCTCGAGAGTTTCTAATTATCAAGCCCTTGCCATGTGTTTTTTCAACTTTTGTCAACAGATAAATATGGCTAATCCTACTGTAGACGTGGTGTTTAGTCTAGAGGGGATTAAACAACACACAGTTGCCGTGAGCCTCGGTTCATCAGTACGATATTCACTGCATAGTTTGATGAGTTCTTTGGGGGCACGGCCCGCTGAGATGGTTGTCTACGATATCAACCAAGATCTACATGTTGACTGGGATTGCACAATTGACTCGCTGGTGTCCCATAAACTACTGATTCATCCTAAAGGGCAAGGTAATGGAAAGACAAAAGATCACTCCGCCAGTCTTCCACAATCAGTCCCAAACGTTTACACCCCGCCTCCAGAGGTCCCGCCTCCTCGAATTAGTAGTGCTACGAAAGTCTCAAGATCTAAATCGTGTCCAACAAAACCAATCGGGTTTCGAACACAACCAAGAGTGCCACAAACGCACGCAGATGACATGCCAATTTACCCACCCCCACCTGTTCCAGGGCAACCACCCGTAATGGAATTAGATGAAGACGTCAATGAAAGATATCATCCCTCAGCACTCTCCTGTTACCATGGCAGAGTGAACGTAAAAGAGGTAATAAACCATTTATACCATTACATTAAAATAATTAATTATTCCATGTATCCAATATTGAAAAAAATACTCAAACAACACGTATCTGAAGTGGTTTACTAAGAAAATACAAAATATATCAACACTGTAGACGATATTACTGATATTAATTTGAAGATAATACAATTTTAACATATATATAATACCTCGTAAGCACACCTATATTGTGTACAGTAAAATAGATTAGAAACAGGTATACGGATGCGCTACATTCCCTTCCCTTGGACGCTCAATGCATCTTTCGCGGTAACCCGGCTTTCGCGGTAACCCGGCTTTCGCCATTTATACCTTCCTGTAGTATTTTATCTTAGTGAAAAAACTGTATGATAGTGTATCCAAGTCAAATACTGTCCACGCTTTCCTCATAGCTGCTGTATCATCACCATATCATAATTGAAATGTCATTAAAGATCGAAAATAACATTTATAAGATAATTTACATTCAGTGTTTTATTGCAGGTAGAAATGATAATGAAGGAACATTTAGATACACCATTTTCCTACCTGATAAGAGACAGTATGAGCAAAAATAACTGCTATACCATCTCAGTAATGTAAGCATTTTTTGAATGTTTTTTTATTTGAGAAATTTACCCGGTAAAACATCAATCCCGCTTGCTCTATATACTCCATTTATCCATATGGCACTGGGTGGGATCTTGGTCAGTTTATGATGGAATGAACAATGAGTTTTGACCCCCTGGTGAGCGGAAAAATGAGTGTCACTGTATACTATAGGTCAAGCAATTAAGAGAGGCCTAATCTATGCGACACACATATTCAGAAGTTCAAAGTTCAATTGTCGGTCCTATATCATTGCCAAATATAATGAACGAAGTGGTTGTGTTAGTCTTGTTCTGTTATTCATGGGTTTTCCATGTTTTAGACACGTTTACACTTGCAAGTAAATGTAGTTGGCAGTATGTCTTTAGTATAATAATATCTTAATACTAGTAATCTCAAATGTCATTTGGTGGCCTATTTTAGGCATTACATGAAGTTACGTTTATACTGTATGTACATGGTACTAAATTACAATGTTTGTAATTGTTACAGATACCGTAACCGGCAGATGTTTCATTTCAACATATTTGTTGATAACGAGAGACCAACTTCGCCTTGGTATTACGTCAGTAAAGACATGAAGTTCAGGAGCATGGGCCAACTTTTAGAGTACTTTCAGAACAACCACATCCCCGGTCAGCATGTGCACGATCTTCGCCTGCTGTACCCAATTAATAAGACGGAAGAAAAAATAGACCCGTCATATACATCTCTAACGTCTCCCGCATTCGACGTCCAGAGTTTACAGCCAGCAAGAGTTCGCCGCTCTCGCCAGCAAAGATCCGCTTCGCTGACAAGCACGCAATCTCCGCCACCGATACCAGGGGACCATCCATCGCGGCGATCGTCACTGCAGAGTTCCAGCAGTGGAGGCAGGCTGGGACAGGGATACATTGAAATGCTAGGCGATGGTTCACAACCGCCACGTGAACCTCTTCCGGATTACTGCGAAGCAAATCGTGGAACATTTAGCTCGATCGAAGAACTGAAAAGTAGACTGACCAGAATGGAAGTCAGTGGTCGTCAGAAGTGTTCCTGTGGACTGGATCTCGAAGACTCTATACTTGTAGATGACTGGAGAGTCCACTTGAGTACGGACCCGGAAACCAGTGGTCAAATATTTTACGCTAAGGCTGATAATAGTCAGGTGTTGTGGGATTTACCGGTGGAAGTGCACGATAAACTATGTCAAGTGAATCCGAAGAAATTAGCATACATTGAACATTTGCTTCGATACAATGATAACCGATATTAGCCAAAGGTAGTTACAGAACCATACGTATGGTCCGATAATGTCATATTATACCGAAATAAACCCAAATAACAGACTAAACTGCCTTGCACTGCAGCAGCGCCTTACCGTCCAAAATGTTTCCTCAAGACATAAACTGAACAAGAGTTTCCTTAATCTCGTGATAATTTTAAGCAAAAAAAAAAACAGAATTATGTTTTTTAACTGTGTAAATGAATTTGTAGGCAAATATATTGCTCTGTCTCAATTTGTGAAATCTTCGGATGTGAACGTATCGTACAATTTATTTCCGAAATATTCCTGATGTGCGCTGCCGTTCAAGTTAGCGAATCAGTGATACCCGTCTTGTGATTGATTCCAACATTTTGTAAGTGATTTAATACCTAAAACATGCGGAATTATTATAAAGAAATCAAAAGTTTTCAATGGCTAGACTTCCAAAAAATCGAGAAATAGTTAATATGGTTTGCTTCACTGTACGCCGACTGAACGCATTGCTATTTTCATTTTAGTATTATTGGGTTACGACATTATTTTACTGAATATGTTAATTGTTAATTGTCTATTCTATAACTGTAATCAGAAAATACACGGGAAAATATTACTTACGCAATTCTAACTTTGATATTCTTTGTACATACACAAAATCTCAATTATATTTGGTATATCATACCTTTTTGTTGTGCGATTTACGCCTCTGTAAATAAATATTGTGTATACGATGTGCAGTACATTTCGAAATTCGTCTTTAATAAAGGGTCTTCTCATTAAAATATTCATTCATTATAATTTTGGTCTCTTTCAGTGTCTGTTTTAACGATAATACTTTGTTATTAGTATGTTATACTTGTGAGATACAAAAGATGAAGTTTACTGCTTATGCAATGAAATAATTGCATCGTCCCTACATGAGTTGAGCCGGATTGATTGGTTATTCGTGTAAACACTGATGGTATTCCTCGAGAATGTATGTGCATTTCAAAACGCCTTGATAGATTTAATTTAGCGTCCGCCAAAACCGCCCGGCTCGAATTGTTTATTTCCCAAATTTGATAAATTCTTAGTCATAGGCTTAAACCCCGCCCTCTAAAGTGACACTAGCCAATCGTATTTTAATTTAATCTGCTCATAACATTTCGTTGATATTATTGAGAATACACGGTGTCTTATTAAAATTGTCATATATGATATATGAAACTGTTAAAGTGGGGGAGTTATCAGGGGCCAATTCCTCTGGGTTCTCCACACGTGTAAGGGGGGAATCTGGTCTCGTCTCTCTATCGCGTCCCCTTGAGGTACGGGATCGGGAAAGTCACTTAAACTTTACAGTCAAATAAACGCACACAACAATATACGTTTCAACTCTCGTCGGTCAGTCGAGCACTTTATAAGACACAGCGCCCTGGGGAAAAGTCCCCAAGACTATCGCAAGGCTGACCCAAGACTGCCTCTAGACTGCGTCAAGACTCGCCCCAAGACTCTCTCTAGACTGCGTCTCTGGTGGTGTACTCGCCAAGACCAACTAAAAACTCTTTATTCACTTTCAAAACCTTAACCAATTACAAAGAAGTATTAAGACTCTAAGGCGTGGCCTTCAATAATACAGCCAATCACACTAAGTACTGAACACATCATATCTTTTGATTAATCGTTCACTACATTAATAACTGCGAATACCAAACTGTCAGAAATAGTAGTCCGAATAACGACGGTTATCTCGTAATTAGTTCCAAATCACTGAGTCGAGTTCCGTTCTGAACTTCAAATGGGCCGAAACGATGACAGACATAACACAGCCATTCACTCGTAATCAACTAATTAAGTCAATCAACAGATACGTGCAAACAAATTCATCACAGAGTCGTCACCTGCGCATGCATCAGCTGGATATTCTTTTGTTAATAATACTACTAAATATTTTAGCAATGGACAATGAGCAATATGTGAACACGTTATTGGTACACAAGTGTAACAGCAAGTACACATGAACACGCTAAGTGATTGACCTTGTTATGCAATATCCACAGAACGATGGTAGCAGCTCATATTACGTTATTGTATTCAACAGAAACAAGCGTTTTCACATGATTCAATGAAGTAGTTATGTCAATAATGATAGATGTGCGTGCGACCATCATTTGTCGATGTTATTGTTATTGCCATGGTAGCAATATTACAAGTGACATTCAGTTGAGTTATTGACAAATATTCGAATTCTTGGCGAGTTAGTTTATGATTATGTTATAAATGTTGTAAAGCATCGCAAGCTCGAGGCTAGTTGTTTCATTATTGATGGATATGTAAAACTGCCCAGGGATTGTCTGCGCAACGTAGATATTCGCTGCCACTCTGCGTAAAGAGCGCCCAGTCACGACGTTGCATTCCAAACACCTATTAACTGATAACAAGTGTAGAGTAAACGATGTGAAGGAGGTTAAAATATTAGGACCTTACATTACGCCGTCTTTGTCATGTTATTGCAAACAACGTGTAAAACTTTGCTTCGATTTGTATGGCGTAAATTGGAGACCATACATGTTCTATGGTATGTACATGTATAATTTACAACAGACGTGAACAACAATAATAGTATATTACCGTATATTTCAATTAGCATGGTTTTACTCACGTGGAAAACAGTATTAGATATGCCAAGAGTAGATATAATCATAACGATTTATTTTTAGGAGTGATAGGTTCCTGGGTGATATCGTCCATTTGGATGAATTTCTAGTATTTTCTGGAATCTAACATTTTTTGCGTAGTTCTAATTGATGAATTGGCTTCGCTAGGATTGTCATTTAAAGATCACTTGTGTGTGTGTGATTTTCCATGCCTTCACGTATTAATTCCTCTGTGATTTTTTGGCTGGGCCGATTTCGCAAAGATTTGGCAGACAGGTCACACCTTCACTCTAATTAAAAGGTCAAATCTGAAAAAAATATCCTGGCTCACCGTTGCCATACCAACAGCAAAAAACAGATTTTTGAATAGCCTCGCGCCAAATGCATTCCCTCTTTCTACTCAGCTTGAGTATGGGCACAAAGTTAGTGTAACCCTGGGTTTCTAGCATTTCTAAAATTGTTTTGTTGCATTTACTCAGCTTGTAGTTCTTAATTTTCTCGGCATTTACGCAATATGCAATCTTTGTATAAAAAACGAAAGAACTGTTGATGTTGAACCACAGGGAGCCCAGAAACTATAATCAACTTTAGGCAGTCTCTATGATGTATTTGTAGAAGTGATACCTAGATACAATCAGAATGATATACAGTATTTGTAGAAGTGTTACCTAAATACAATCAGAATGATGTATTTTTTATTTTTTTTATTAGACGCATAAAATCCTTAGGAAAGGATAAAAAGGGTCTTACAGAAAGAAATTAAAAAACTACAATTTGCAGCAGGGGGGGCAGCTGCCCCCTGAGTTTGGGAGCTTTTTTTAAAAAAAAAAAACCCTTAAAACTGGGTGATGGAGGATCAGCTCGAGAATGGCAATTTTGCATTATTCATGGACTGGAAATCAAGATATAATAACGACTTATCAGAACATTTAAAACTTACAAGTCGAAACGCTAAACATACTTCCCCACAAATACAAAATAAATATAAATGAAAAGACCAATTGTTACTTCCATCCCCGAGTACTGGAGTTTATGGCAGATGAAACCCAGGATTACGCCACTTGTGAACAAATCAGTCTTTGTATACGTTACGTGTACGAAGACAAAATACGAGAGGATTTCCTTGGCTTTGTACAACTGGAGAAAATGGGTGCGCGTACGATAGCTGACAAAATATTTAACACACTTACAGGATATGCTTTGAATATGGATAACATGGTTGGACATGGGTATGATGGGGCGGCAATGATGAGTTCTGACAAAAATGGCGTACAAGATATTATTCAAAGACAGTACAGCAACGCAACATATGTCCATTGTCGGTCACATACCCTCGCATTAGCTCTTGCAGCTGGTTGTAGACAGGTCCCAGAAACCTGTAACTTGTTTGACAGTGTTGAAAAACTTACTTGGTTTTTGGGTGGTGGTGCCAATGAAAGCCAATTTTTATAAGTGTAGCTAATAATAGTGATGTAGATATTAGTGAACTTTTAATGGATGAATTAAGCGAATTAAATATCGAGATACGCAAAGGCTGACAGAAAACATCAGTGCCCAAACTGTGTGTTACACGCTGGACGGCTAGGGTTACCACGCTGTCAGCCCAGCTTGTCAAATACAAGATCGTTTAAGAGTCCATGGAAGCTATTAGGGATAGAAGCAATGGTGATGCAAAGCTGGTTGTGGTTAAATTCATTTTGAGTTACTGTGCTTATGTTACAATAACACTACAGTCAGTAAATTGTGACTTGGCGAAGGCATACAAAGACGTAAAGCTCTGCAAAGACAATCCTATCAGTCTAATGCAGGACAAAGTTCTACTCAGACGCCCAGCGAGTATTTTAAGGTGAATGTATATTATCTTTTCTCGGATCTTGTCACCCAAGATTTTGAGACGCGATTTGCTGATCATCATTGTGATTCGATAGCTGCACAAGCACTTTTACCATGCAACATTGGTCAGCTCACATCAACCCATGTGACCTCATTTAACAACTACTATTGGAAAGTTTTGCAAAGAGATGATTTTTTGAATAATAAAATTGAGAAGTGGATAACAAAGTTCAGTGATACACCAATTGAGCAAAGGCCCAATGATGCTGCTTCAAAACCTGTCGGAAGTGTGTCATGTATTTATTCGAGGAAAGCTAACTGGAGATAAATTAATATGCTATCGCCAAAGTTGTAAAGTTGTAACTATCAATTGTACAAATCAGTCTCGCACATTAATGTTGCTTATATATGAAGATACAACAAAAGTGTTTCAGGTATTAAATGTCATACTGTAATGTCCCGTGTTTTATGTATATATTCATAAAATAAATCAAGATGATTTTACTGTTAAAAATAGATAGATATACCCCCATAGCCATTAACTTATGGCGCAACTGCACATTTCTACGCCTGTATGCATTTATACGCAACTTACAAAAAATACATTTGCTGCCCCCTAGTGAAAAAAAGCTAGCTACGGCCCTGCATGTGTAAAACACTCTGAACACATATCAACATGAGCCTTTCCTTGTTGCGGAAGTGTATCTTTATCACCCTTACATGCCATGCATAACTAATCACAACAACTTCAAACGTGAGAGCATCGTATTTAAACCCCTACTAATTGAAACTGCCTTATAGCGTGTGCGCAACTGAGCCTGTGTGTATGACGGTCCTTAATAGCCTGCAAGTTCATCGTATCGATACAAGAATATATCAGTTATTGTCAGGCAAGTCATTGAAACCACCCCACATTTGTCCACCTGTAGTTTCGTGTTCTCTAGTGCTTCGACCACTTAGTGAATACAGGTAAGTATCGTTCATGTCCTTTGACGATCAATAGTCACTGTTTTTTTTATTTAGAACTAAATTCACTGATGTTCCTTTTGAAGTGTTTTGGTTCGTACACTGAGTACACTTACAAACCTGCCCCGAAACCTAAAACCGCGAAGGCATAGTTGTCTGTGCATGTATTCTTGTGAGTGAGCGGTCGGCTCTGAGAGTCAAACCACTAACCTCCCGATGTAAGCCGAACACCATTAACCATTATTTACTAGATTTAGACTTTTGCAACAATTGCAACATATATAGGATTAGGTCAACTAATCCTACGGTAAATGATACATAGTTCAATAATTAAAAGGAAGCACCATTGTGCATTTCAATAATTTATAAGATCATTTCCTTCTTCCGCGTACGAACATACCAATACCCTGTAACCGTTGCTCTCCTGGTCTTTGTGGCGTTCGAGCAAAGTGCAAAATAGTTTAAAATAGATATTCCAATGAACCGCGCTTGCTACCCCGTTCCATATTTAATTTTACTAAACATGGCAAATGTTTATTAAATACAAAAATAATAAAAAAGGGTAAATATGTCAACTGTATTGCCATACTCACTGAAATGCCAACTGGGCACACAGTTCATGGAGTAACACGTAAAATACAGCATAGTATGTGACAAACATTGAAGCTCCGCCAGCCTGAATAAACAATGAAAACAACTTTAAAATGCGCATATCAAACATCAAAGCATAAGTTACAGACAGAAACAATGACAGACAGTGTTATGTGACTGGACTGTACTATTGCTCCTCTGGCGCTATTTGTTTTATAGCACTAAAAAATAGTAATGAGTTCAATAAACATTACATCCACACTTCATTTTAACGCATAGCGTCGATATCGTATTGTTATTTGGTTAGTGAATTGTATCGGTTTTTTAGATCTATTACTAAGTCATAAAAGTTGGAGATATTATAATTTCCGCAAATATTGTTTCAATAACCGCTGGAAATTAATGTGGGACATTTTTTATTTCGTCATACAGAATACAACACAATACAGTACACAATACAAATCCATTATACAATACAGTACAGTACAGTACACAATACATCATCTGTACAATGAGACACATAGATCATGTTCCAAAGAGGGTATTGTTACATCAGGGTACGCAAGACACTCATTGTTCTACCCTTATATTAGTATACAAGAGATATATTTCAGTGTTTACATATATCATATGAACTGGATTCACACATTACATAATATGTATCCCAAATTTGACTCTTCTTTGTAATGGCTTGAATACTCAAGGAACTTAAATATTTAATAAGAAGTTGTGTGCCTTCGCCGACGAGCCTAAGAATGCCGAACTTAAAAACGAGCGATATAGCGCGGTATTTTATTGTTGGTGGCGAATAAACTTGCTATCATACATGCAACAGCTCATTTAAAACGTTAAAACTAAAATAAGGCTTGAATTCGTACAGTGTACTCAAATGACCCTCGGCGGGAAAGTTGCGTGGTGCGGATTGATATATGACGCACTCATGACATGGCCGGCCATTGTTGACATTGTAAACACGTCTTGGAATAGAATAGCATTTTAAATTTATATTTGGCAATATGGTATTTTCAAAAAGGCGCATACAAGATATTACATACTTTAATGAGTAGTTAACTGTTCAAAATATTCATTATTGTGGCACTATTTTATCTAAGGCCACGGCAGACAATAACTTAAGTTAAGCGACACGTTCTTAAATCACATGACGTTTCCTGCTTCACTGCGCGAACGTAATTACACTCAGACATGATTTAAATATTCAAAAATAAAAAAAAAAGTTTCAACTTGTATATATAAATCGATTAATTTAATGTTAATGTAATATTCTGTGAATAAAAACGTTCGATTGCTACGGTTTTTTTTCAAAATTAGATCATCAAACACAAATGCATTCAGTCAGTGTTCACTGTTATTACTGTGACATAAATAAATACTAACAGGCACGGTTCTTTCGCTCGGTTAGAATTGATAGAAATGTTGAAATTAAACGTCTCGCCGTTAATTTTGACTCAGACAGCAGTTGTGTAGGAAGGAGACGTTGAAACTAATGCAAACATTTCAAATGAGTTATGTTTATTTACTCTGTTCAGCTGTTCTGTTTCCATGGCAATTGTAAAATTAGTGAAAATTAAGTGACACTGTAATAAAGCGTGATATTTCCACTTTTATAACAATAAAAATCAGTAGATAACAAACCTGCATGTATGATAATGCTTATTTTTGTCAATACATTTTTTCCAATAGCTTCTGACATCACAGAGTTGAACGCTGCAAAATGGAGACATTGACTGTTATTATTGACATGCAGTCAGAAGAGTGCCACACCATACCAGTGTATATGGGAACATCTTTATTATACTCTCTTAAAGGACTGCTCGAAAAGTTAAAACTCAACAGCACTACTTGTGATATATATGATATGGATCAACGAAAACATATCAGCTGGACAGATCGAGTAGACGACGTAGTATCTCACAAACTTTCAATTAGCCAATCACTCAATAAGAGCAGTGCTCAAATGGAGAGACACGAGCCACTCGAGCATCCAGGATATAACCGTATTGAATCTAAAGGTTCCTTTTCAAAATGTGAAACACCAGTTCCAAATCAACAAAGTATTCCACGTCACGAAAAACAACGCATAAGGACACGTAGTAGTCATTCATTTGATTCACCGTCCTTACAACCCGTAGGACTTCACTTAAGTAACGCGTCCCACACGGTACAGAAGGCACTTACGTTACCTAACATGAAGATGACTAATAGACAACGACCCAGCTCCTATCAAGGGGTTAGTGAAGACACAGATTATGTTCGTATGTATCCGCGTACACGTAGTCGTATAGGCGTGGATAACCTAGATGATCTTCTATATTACCATGGAGCGCTGAGTTCAGAAAAGGTGCGAAATTTTACAATTGTATTTCGTTTACATTAATTGGATCCGTGTTAATCGTTACTGGGAATTCCAAACAAGCCATGTTAATCTGATTGACCCTACCCAAGACCTCTTCTTGTCGGTAAAGCCACGTTTAATTTTCTGTTCAGATACAAATTGAGTAAATAAATATGAAGAAGCATTCTGTCAAACCAATCAAACTCCACAAATACAAACACTGTTCTGGAAGAAGGCACAATCACTGCAGTCTGTAACATAACCGGAAAGTAGAAAGAATTATATGCTACTTCTTGTTTTACATTTATCACAGGCTGTCAAATGTATGGACAAATATATAAATAGACCATTTTGCTACCTAGTCAGAGATAGTAGCAGGGATCCCAATAATCTGGTGATAACAGCAACGTAAGTATTGACATTTTTTAGGCACGTTGTCCTGATGTCTACGGAAGAAATAAAAGAATACTACTTTATTAAAAACAGAACATTAATTTTTTATCTCAATTTCAAATCTGAATTCGTAATAACCACATTTGTGTTACTTATTTCTGTAATATTCTCTAGTTACCATGGCAATAGGATTGTTCACTTTTATGTGTATAGTGAACCTGGGCAACGGTACTACATAACGAAAGACAGCGTATTTGAAAGTTTGCCTGCTCTCATAGAGAATTACGCCAACAACGACGTTCCAGGTGAAGAGATT